ATCCCTGTGTAGGGCAGGTCATTTGCTGCTGGAAGCCTGACAGACCACTGGGAGACTGGCACAGGCTCTGCTGGCAGAGGTGACAGGGAAGGGACCTCTTTTCTGCTACCTGCACCTGAGTAGCTGCCAGCCAGCACCCTTAATATGACACCGATTTAAACAATAAAACTCTACATAGAAAATTCCTATTATTTCTGTAAGATGAAGTTACAGTGGCCTAAGAACATCTGACTGTGCAAACCCAGTCATGGGCCTTCTCCATGTTAGTGTGGGAGGGCACCTGGAAACCCTAGGAACTAGGAACACAACCTCAAGCACCACAGCTAACCACTTGGCCAAGCAGAAGAAATTAAACAGTTGAAAACCTCCATTTAGATCAACTGTTATCGTGCTGTGTACAGCTGAAAAAAACCAGAGGAACCCCAGGAATACGGTAGCAACCCCAGATGTGGACTTGTGAGGTGAGGGAGGTAGGATGTCACTGGGAATGCAGAAGGCACAGTTACATTATCTTCACCCATGTTCCACTTTCTGCCACAGCTTTCTCTTTGAGGATCTCCAAAACCTCATATACCTCCCCTCCCATGCCAAGGCCATCAGGCTTGTCATCCCCACTCAATGCTTCACTGCCTCTCTGCCTCACCCAGGCACTTGGTGGGCTGCAAACTGTTACCTTTGCCCCACCAAGACTAACTAATCTACCAGGAAGAACTGCTAAATACCTGGAGTGTAAACAGAACTAGGTTTGCAATTGTTTTGCTGCTCCCATTTCCCAGTTTGATGCTTCCTCCCAGCTGAGGAGCTGCATCTCTGCCCAAGCAGACAGTGTCACAAATTATAACTCTCGTCCAAGAAGACCTAATGATGGGGACTCTTATTTTATAGGATGACACAAAACCAGTGGGCCTGGATTCCCAAGATTATACTTTTGGACAACACTTAGGAAGATAAATAAGGAGACTAATTATCTTAATTTATTCCATAATTATTTTAATTATTAATCACTTCCTTCTTTCTTACCTATCATCAGGTCTAGAGGCAGGAGTGTTCCCAAGTCCTGAATGCAGGCTCTGCCCCCAGCATGCTCCCATGACTCACCAGGTTAGTCTTTATCTCTTCCCACACCTTTCATAACTAGACTTGAAACTGCATCATTGCTTCTGGGGATGCAGTAAGTAGGCTACACTATGCATATCTAAGTTGACTCACCTGAGAGAAGATGTCTTGTTCCTTCTGCATCATTCCCTCTGCAGATGGTTTTAGAGGACAAGAGGGCCAGCTCTTCTAAAAGCGGTGAAAGGTATAGGGCATGGCTGCTGAGTTAGCAAGTGAGTTCATCTTTTCAGGTGAAGAGTTTTTCAGTGGACTTATATGAGTTTAAGAAAGGCTACATAAGGGTTTTCACATGAGATATTTGCCCTTTGCTGCTTTGGCCAAAGGTGACCATGTAAAGCTGGGACCTGTTAAGGCAGCACCCGCCCAGCAGAGGCTGGCTCTGACTGTGCTGCCGGGCATGCACAGCACAGCCAAACTGTGTGACAGGGCAGCGGGAAGGGAGGTCAGTCAGGAGGAGAGGAATTGGGCTGAACACCTGGAGGCAATGAAGCCATATCGTGGCATCACAGGCACATGGGGAAAACAGCACTGAGAAGGAAGTGCTGGCTGAGGCATGAGCAAGAAGTAAAGCAGGGAAGAAGGAAAAGACAGGCAAAGAAGCTGGTGCTCATTCAGCAGGGATGTGCAGCAGTGAGGCCTGTTTTATACATACTAGTTGATAATATTGTGAATAGAAACTCAGGGAGACTGTGACCTCCATTTTACATCACACAGCCCTTCTCTGCCTTTTCCTGTCACCCACAGGCAGATAGGCAAGCATCTTTCTAGTGCTAGTTTCAGCATCAATAACAGTCACCATTTTCTAAGACCACAAATATGTAGCAAATAATAAACCCCACAAAACTCACAGAGGAAGGAGTTCATGACTAGAGACTGGGCAAGTTAAGTTCTGATGACACCAAATGTAAGTGAGGAAGAAGCACTCTCTAGGTGGAGATAGGAATGACATGTGTCAGAGATAGATAACTGCATCTGGGACTCTTCTGTTTGGATACAAATCAGATCCTGGATCCTCAAAGCTCAGGGACATCTCCCTGAGAGGAGATCATCTTCACTAATTACAAAATGAGATTGTAGTGCCAAACTGTAGAAACAGAAAATAATCTTGCCTTACCATATCAACAGCAAGCAGCTCCAAGTGTTATAGCTAGAAAGGTTTTCCAGAAAGACGAGATTTAATGGGACAGTGGTATCCTCTGCCATGTAAGCCTTGTGCTCTGCTTCCATTCTGCCCCTGTCATAGACAGGCCAATGTATGACAGAGGTAGAGCAGCCTTCCTTTCCTAGTAGCAGGATTAAGCACTGACCAAGAGGCTCTTTGTTATGACACAAACAGTAAATATGACTTTTTGCCCTTGAAAATATGTACAGTCTCAAACTGTGGTTTGCTCCCCACTCTTCTACATCTAATTTCTTTTTATCTGCTTCTATTTTCACCTGAGAACATTAAAGTGTTTCTGGCTCCATAAATAGGCACAGGGAAACTGCAGTGAAGTAGAAAGCTGAATTTTATCTTTCACCGAGGCTGTAATGCTTTAGCTTTCTGTATTGTGCTTTCAGTAACTCACTGTTATCCTTTAACCTGACAGCAAAAAACCTCTGAGTCTGTATCTGTTCCTGAAGAGGGAAATGCAAGGAGAGAAGGAAACACAGACTAATCTTTTTACTTCATAAGAGATCAACAAAGGAAATGTTCCATTTTTTATTCTATTTTTACAAGGTTTTCAGCTATTAACACAAGCAATTTATGCATACTATAAAAAATTATCAGGGCTGCCCTTTTAATAATTATAAGCAGATTTATTACAACTGAAGAGTTGTAGCGTATCTTGCTACATGAATTATTATGTATATTATCCTGGTTATTTACACATTGTAATTAACTGAGACTGTTTTGGTGCTTTGAAATTTGTGATTTGTTAGCACTTACAGCATTTACAGAGATATAAACATCTATAAAATGTATGGGAGTGTTAGGAATTAGGTTTGCTGAGGTCAAGCTATCATTCTGCTGAAAAGATAGTTTTCAATTTCCTCTCTCTAATCCAAGGGGGTTTTATATACACTAAATGTAAAATGGAATCATATTTAAAAGATTGACAAAAAAACAGCTTACCAGACTTTCTCTGTATATTAGTCCTAATTTTTCTCAGGCCTGAATGGATCATCATAATCACAGCAGTGAAAAGGCTTTTGCTGTCTCCCAGTCTCAAATTCAATCTATGCAGAATAAAGGAAAAAGAGATCTGCACAAGCATATCTTCTGCTGCTGGTTTAACCATGTCCCTTATTTTGTCCTGCTGAAATGGAGCAGCACTTTTAGAGGAGGTTGATGCTCACCTCTTGTAGAGAGATGGACTTTCTCATAAAGTGGTCCTATAGCAGATTGAGAGCTGTAGCCACCAGCAAGTCACCTCTGCAAGGATTAAGTGTACTGCAGTCATAGGGGAGTTTTAAGTGGCTCTGCTAATACTATTCACCCTCTACAGAAGAGATTTTCCTTTAAAAATGTTACAATTGACCAACCTCCACTGATCAGAGGCACTTGATTCTTTAAGATGTATTAGGAATAATTGGTGTTGGAGGAGGTTGGAGCTTTGACTTCCACGACATTTTATCAAACAACTGTCATCACAGGAAAGAGTACACATGTTGAAACACAAACCACAGAAATGCTTATAATACACCGGCAATGAACAGAATAGTGAGACAGAGGAAAATGTACTTCCTAGCTGAAATCCTGGAAGAGACAACAGCTGCAAAATAGTTATTCAGGTGTGGCTGTATCAAGTGTAAAGAGAGAACCCCAGTAAATGGATGAGATTAAAGTAGGATGAAATTACCAAAGGCTGGTCTTGTAACGTGGCTGTGAGATATTTCTGCTGCTAAACTACTGTTTTTTGCCCTGGTGATGGATTAGCAGCAGTTAACAAAGATAAACTGAAACAGAAATCTCAGAAGAGAGAATACAAAAACCTATGCATTTTGTCTGATATTTCTCATCCATACACACATAAATACTAAAAAATCAACTTGAATATAAAGACTATGTTTTCATACTTAGTAGATAGATGAAATATAGGCTGGCAAGCTGAGCTGCTTACATAGCTTCAGGATTTTGTGTTGTTATGGTGTCTGTACATGTACATCATGTGCTGATTTGAAGTGAGAGCATATTATGCAAGAAGCAGCTCATATTAAAATTTTCCAAGCCTGAAGCAGAATAATTTGAAAAAAATCCTAGATAATATGGTTTAGATGTTGCTGAGAATATGATTTGGAAAATATGTTGTTCTGCATGTATGAAACCAAAATCCTCATTATTTTCTAGAGAATGTCCAAGATTGTCAGGGTTTAAACTACAGATTGGCAATTTGGCTGAAATGGCATCAGCAGTGCCTCCTTCATCACTTTTATCAATTTACCCAAATCAGAACAAGACAAAATATTTAAAAAGCAGCATCAGTTTGCCCATGCCAAGTAGAGACAGCGTGCAGGTGCTGAATTTGAGCAGTCTCCTCTGCACCAGTTGGCCTCTATCAGGAAGCACCTCACTAGGAGTTACTCTTGCAGCTCTGACTCCTGGGGTTGTAGCACCAGGTGCCAGACCTAGGAGTGGTGAGACAGCATCAAAGATGTAGAGTGAGGTGAAGGAGACTGAGCTGATGAGGAAGGGGATACTGGAACAAGGAGCTTAAATTTAAAAAACAGAGGTGCACAGGGACAGGAAGAACATACGAGCTTCGTCTGGAGAGTGGGCAGAGAGGCTTGTGCTGATTAGACCCTATGAAGTCCTTGCAGTACCTAAATTCTAGATTCCAAATTTTCTGACACAGATAAGCAGAAGATTTTAAGCAGATTTTAATTCCACTCCCAGTTAATACTGTGATCTTGCCAATATCAACAATACTGGTCCTTTAAAGAAAGTAAATAATTCTTTGATAAAAGTCCTATTAATTTGCACAGATAAAAATCTCACGTGGCAAGGAGATGCAAAGATAGATTTATTGCACTAGACAACTATGGAAATAGGTCAGATACACGTTTTCTGGAAATTCGTGATGGTTGTCACGGTGTGACAGCTGCAGAAACAGTTGCAGCAAACCTTCCACTTTTATTTCTTGACCAGCTTTCTCAAATAGATTCCTCCTACAAAAATAAGAAGCAAAGTGCAAATTCTAGATTTTTTTTCCCCCTATAGTAATCAAGGCAGATTACAGGGAAAAAAAGAGAAGATATTCTCTGACAAACCAGGCAATGATGAGACCAAGAAGATTAGTCCTTACAAATGGATTCACAAAGTGTATGCCAAGTCCTTTAGGTGAATGCAGAGATTTTTAGAGCTGGGAAGAAACGAGGTTTCCAAAGCTCACTGGAGTGGCTGTTAAGTGGCTACCTGTTTGGTGGAAAGCGTTCCCAGCAAAGAGACAGATGGCACTGAGGTAGAAGAGAGAAAACATTCTGAAAATAACACATGCAGTCCATTAGGTAGGACAGCCAAAGGTGTTGCTGGACCACTGTACTTTGCTGTTATAGGTATGTACATAATACACCAGAATTTTTTTTCCCTTCATGCAATAAAAAAAAAGCAACAGCTAACCTAGATGTTTGTTGGCAGTCAGTGTCTGCAGATAAAAAGCAGCAATTCCTTTAGCTTGACAATGTTAAGCAGATGTGATAAATTTCTTTGCAACTGATACTGCTATCAGACAATAGTATTTAGCCTATTAGGTAAGTTGCCTAAGCATGATATTTGAATTAAAGCAGTAAAATCAATTTACTGATGTAAAAGAGTTAGGAAGCATTCCACAATATACAAGTGACCTCTGTATGAATAGCACAGGCTTTTTTTATAAATCACAGGGTTTAAGTTGTTATCACTTTATGGCAGTCCTTCACAAATCTTCTGCTTTAGATCTGATAAATTCCTTGTTTCAATGAAACATGCTTAAGACATTCTTTTTATTAATTTGTTTCATTGGACTAAGTGCCACCACATTTTGCTACAAGCAAACTGAAAACATATTTGCAGGAGTCTTCTGAATTATTAGTTTCTGAAATAGGCATTGGTTGGCTTTCACTGTTGTTATGGAAGATCTATTCAGACATGCTTCCTTGGGAAGTAGGACATTTCTTTGCCTTCCTTTAGTATAGGAAATCAGTTATTAATTACAATCAGTAACACTGATACATCCCTAATGCTTCTCCACCCACCCCTGCTGCAGCGAACACTAGACAAAGCTCTTGCAGACTAGCAACTCTGGTCACTGTATCTTTCCCACCTGGTGATTTTTGTTACCAATTATATCCTGTTGTGGTCATGAGACAGCTGTAAGATTACAGGAAAGACGCTTGCTTTCCCACAAAGGAGTGCACATGCAGAATTATGTAAAAAAGCAGGTGGGTGAATAGTTTCAAATGGATTTGTGATTCTGTAGTGTCTTCCAGTCTCTGCTTGAAGCACTTGCCCAGCTCTGTACTACATTTCTATCACTGTGCCTGGCATTAGGAGTGAGTGGATACTGCAACTGACATCAACAGAGGCACTGTTTCCTCCTTGTAAAACTACTTCCTCCTATTTCTGCATATGAAAGTTGACTGAAATTAATCAAG